AATGGCTTTCTGCCCTCTAACCTTTACTACTGTACATTCGGGTGGCTCACAGAAGGGCGGCGCCGCAGCCGCGCGCACGGACTCAACTCAACTGCGCACACACATTTTATCGGCGCTTGTGCATCATCTGCGCACACACTTATTAACTCAGCGTGCGCACACCCCATCATGGGGAGTCAAGTGCGCACACAGGCCCTTTCCCGAATGTTGCTGCGTATTCCAAATTGTACCCTGCGTTGCTCACTTAAAAGGGTAGTCAACTTGGAATAGCCACTTCCTTGTCTATTTTTTACTCTCCAGTGGCTCACCAAGGGGTGAGTCAACTTGGAATGAGCACTTCCTTCTCTAAATTTTACCCCTGCATTGCCCACAAAGGGTGAGTCAAGTTGAAATGGCAACATCCTTCTCTAAATTTTACCCTCGGGTGGCTCACCAAAGGGTGAGTCAACTTGGAAGGGAAACATCCTTCTCTAAATTTTGTCCCCTGCATGGCCCACAAAAGGGTGAGTCAGTTGAAATGGCAACATCCTTCTCTAAATTTTACCCCTGCATGGCCCACAAAAGGGTGAGTCAACTTGGCATGGCCACTTCCCTCTCTAAATTTTACCCTCCAGTGGCTCACCAAAGGGTGAGTCAACTTGGAATGACCTCTTCCTTTTCTAAATTTTACCCTGCCCACAAAAGGGTGAGTCAAGTTGAAATGGCAACTTCTTGTCTAAATTTTACCCTTGGGTGGCTCACCAAAGGGTGAGTCAACTTGGAAGAGCAACACATCCTTCTCTAAATTTTACCCCTGCATGGCCCACAAAAGGGTGAGTCAAGTTGAAATGGCAACATCCTTCTCTAATTTTAAGCCTCGGGTGGCTCACCAAAGGGTGAGTCAACTTGGAAGGGCCACATCCTTCTCTAAATTTTACCCCTGCATGGCCCACAAAAGGGTGAGTCAAGTTGAAATGGCAACATCCTTCTCTAAATTTTACCCCTGCATGGCCAAGAAAAGGGTGAGTCAACTTGGCATGGCCGCTTCCCTCTCTAAATTTTACCCCTGCATTGGCCACAAAAGGGTGAGTCAAGTTGGAGTGACCACTTCCTTCTCAAAATTTTACCGTGCACAAAAGGGTGAGTCAAGTTGAAATTGCAACATCCTTCTCCAAATTTTTAGCCTCGGGTGGCGCAACAAAGGTTGAGTCAACTTGCAGCTTTCCTGGCCACTGCAGGCAGCACAGGTCCGTAAGCTGGCCACCTGCAGCAGCACAGTGCTCACAACACTCTGGTCAACTCCAGCAGCACAGTGCTGACGACACTGGCCACTGCAGGCAGCACAGCTCCGTAAGCTGGACATCCAAAGGCCTCGACATCCAGACAGATCTGGAGTGTAGAGGTGTAGAGTCTAGAGACCCACAAAATCTTGCAGAGGTTCAGATCCAGAGACCAGGGGAACAGAGGACCAAAGGACCGGGCCTTACGGTCGCCTCACCTCTTCAAAATTTTACTGGCGTGCTAGAATGGAATGGCTTTCTGCGCTCTAAACTTTACTACTGTACATTCGGGTGGCTCACAGAAGGGCGGCGCCGCATATTTTATCAGCGCTTGTGCCTCATCTGCGCACACACTTGTTGACTCAGCGTGCACACACCCCATCGGGGGGAATCAAGTGCGCACACAGGCCCTTTCCCGAATGAATGTTGCTGCGTATTCCAAATTTCACCCCTGCATTGCTCACTTAAAAGGGTAGTCAACTTGGAATGGCCACTTCCTTCTCTATTTTTCCCTCCAAGTGGCTCACCATGGGGTGAGTCAACTTGGAATGAGCACTTCCTTCTCTAAAATTTACCCCTGCGTTGCCCACAAAAGGGTGAGTCAAGTTGAAATGGCAACATTCTTCTCTAAACTTTACCCTCGGGTGGCTCACCAAAGGGTGTCAACTTGGAAGGGCAACATTCTTCTCTAAATTTTTCCCCCTGCATGGCCCAAAAAAGGGTGAGTCAAGTTGAAGTGGCAACATCTTTCTCTAAATTTTACCCCTGCATGGCCCACAAAAGGGTGAGTCAACTTGGCATGGCCACTTCCCTCTCTAAATTTTGAACCCTCCAGTGGCTCACCAAAGGGTGAATCAACTTGGAATGACCACTTCCTTTTCCAAATTTTACCCTGCCCACAAAAGGGTGAGTCAAGTTGAAATGGCAACTTCTTTTCACAATTTTACCCTCGGGTGGCTCACCAAAGGGTGAGTCAACTTGGAAGGGCCACATCCTTCTCTAAATTTTACCCCCGCATGGCCCACAAAAGGGTGAGTCAAGTTGAAATGGCAACATCCTTCTCTAAATTTTACCCCTGCGTGGCCCACAAAAGGGTGGGTCAACTCGGCATGGCCGCTTCCCTCTCTAAATTAAACCCCTGCATTGGCCACAAAAGGATGAGTCAAGTTGGAGTGACCACTTCCTTCTCAAAATTTTACCCTGTGCGCAAAAGGGTGAGTCAAGTTGAAATGGCAACATCCTTCTCCAAATTTTACCCTGGGGTGGCGCAACAAAGGGTGAGTCAACTTGCAGCTTTCCTGGCCACTGCAGGCAGCACAGGTCCGTAAGCTGGCTCGCTGAGTAGCTGGCTAAATGGGGGATAGAACAGGAGTTCAAAAGTGGTCCTTGTTGTTGTGTGTGTTTTTCGGGAGATGCATCAAAAAATGCATTAACATACAGTAGAATACATGACAACACTTGCCATTGCAGGCAGCACAGCTCCGCAAGCTGGCCACCTACAAAAGCCATCGAAAACCAAAGGCAAAAGCCACCAAAACCCAAGAGCCACCGAAAGCGAACCTTCCTTCCTGCCCTGCTGCCTTTCTTCCTTCCATCCATCCTTCCTTGCTTCCTTGCTTCCTTCCTTCCTTCCTTGCTTCCTTCCTTCCTTCCGTCCTGGCTTCGTACCTTCCTTCCTTGCCTTCTTGCCTTTGTTTGTTTCTTTTCTTTATTTTTTTATTGATGCATGTTTTTTTTGATGCATTTATATTTTTTATTGATGCATGTACTGTATATTTCTTTTTTGATGCGTCTCCCCCAAGGGAGCGACAGTGAAAACTCAGCACCTCAGAAATGTACAGTAGAGTTTAACAAAGCAGTTCAAAATCCCTTAGGTCTTGTATGACGTGTCAGCTCACCGCCTTCCGGCCCAGCTCGTCCATCTCCTGCACCCAAGGGCGGCTCCATCTGAGTTGAAGGGCTTCCTCAGTTCACTGTGGTCATGCAGTACATGTAGGAAAATCTGTTTCCATGTTATGGCTCCAAAACTTGCCACTTGGGCCAACCGGCCTCTGCTTCGGTTCTTGCTTCTTTCATGATGAGCTGTGCTCTTGCAAAGTCTGAAGCTTTCTCGTGAAATATTCGCTGCGCTTCCTCACACCTCAGTGTCAAAAAACGATTTGCTCCTAGAGCATGTTTCTTCTCCCCGACCGTCGCAAGTGTGGGAAAATTCCAGACAAACAGGCTGTGACACTTCACTGTAGCAACGACGAGGGTCGTAGTTATAGCAGGGGCAAAAAACAGTTTGTTTTGACCTTGAAATGTTTATCAACCTCGCGGGACTGAAAGGTTATTGGACCCTCGCATGAATTAATTTACATGCAACTCCCTGAGGGTTGTTGGCCAAAATTACACCAGCATCGACCCCAAACAGCATTTGTTCAGTTGGTTTGATTTCAGCCATGCAGCAAATATATATATATATATTATTATATATGTATGTACACATATGACCATATGTGTTCAGGAACATGACGCCGCATTTCCAATGTCACAACTCTGGCTTGTCAAAAGCACACCACTGTCTATACAACTGTGCAGTTCGAGATTACAAGCGCGCATTCTCATGAACATGACGAGGTGCTTCCAAAGACGCAGCCCAGCGTGTTGCGCGCTGTCAGAAATGCAACTGCACGTTTTAGGCATACGGGCCTGCGTGTTCAGAAGCACGCTGGCCTTACCACGGGCATCAACGTGTTCATCCACAAGCATGCCGCTGCGTTGCAGAGATTCATCTGTGTATGTTGTGAAATACAATTGCCCCCTCTCAGAAACATGACGTTGCACGTCCATGCCTTTGTACTTTCAAACATGCATCTGCGCATTTCCCTTGGTACACGCGTTTCCTTTCAGAAACAGGACCTTGCATCTCCAAAGTCAAAACTCCACCTTTCCAAAGGCATTTGGAAAATCATCTGTGCATTTCGAGCCGTACAAGCGCACGTTTTCAGAAAAATGTCGTTGCCTCTTGCGACCCTCCAGTGATAATGGCTTCACTGGAAAGAAGTCAGGAAATCTGACCCACAGGTTGCCAGTCGGGAGACAATGGGGAGACAAAGCGAAAATCATCTCGTGACGGGGTGTATTCCTTGAAAACCTATAACGCCAACAACGGGCTGAAATAGAACATTCCATTGTCAACTGGTGAACCGATGTTCATGCGAAATGACTCCCGACCTCATGGTGCACGTGCGAGGCGCATCGCAGTCAAATTCAGTCTATTAAGCTCTTCCCGCTGGTCTTTGTGTGTCTCCACCTCCTTTGCTTCCTGGGCTTGGCGAGCCATCTCCACAGCCTTTACCACTTGCCCTTAGGCAACTCACGAAGCACTGGGCAACGGCATGTAAAAACATATGACAAACAAATGTGTGGAAACAACGCAGAATTGAATCAAAGGTGATTATTCTGCGCAACAGACTGCCAAGGCACACTGCATTTTCTCCAAGCGGTCTTCGAGGTGCTGAATTACTTCTTTCATTGATTGCTGAACGCCAGTCAGCTCAACCATCATTGCTTGAACTTCACCATAACGTTCCAGCGACTCTGCCCTGAGCTTCCAAAGAGGAGAACCATGAAACATCCAGCTGTGCATTGTGAATGCTTGGAAGATTGGATCGGGCCTGTTGCTTCGAATGCGTGCTTCAATGTGACGAAGGTCATCATCACATAGTCCCCGGCCCTCCACCGCACAGAGTGCAAAGGAAAATCAAACAATGCCATCCGCACTCAGCGAGACCAGCCTTCATGTTCCATCCAGCATCAAGTGCAGCAGCCGGCTAAGGTTCAGCTCTCTGCTTTGTCAAATCATATCTGTCATCTTGGAATGGAGACGATCACCTCCTTCCAAACCGTGTAAAATCTCGTATGTGCTTGATTCTGCGGCTTCTCCTACTTCCGACGCAAGAGTGAACGTGGTTATATACGTGCATATATATATATATATGTGATATATATATATATGTGTGTATTGAATTGTATTGATATAAATATACAAATATATACACGCAAACCAATGAATGCCGCGCCGTTTCTTCCATAGAGCCTGAAGGCTGTACTCACACGTTTCGAGCACTGTGACCGATCAGGAGCATGGGAATGCCAACCTATTCTTGAGGGGTGGGGCAAAGTGCCGGCAATCATTTATCCTCACAATAATCAACTTGTCCGTCTGTCCTTTTCCCTTACACCAATCCTTTCCGGCAAGGACACCTCAAAATCTCATAGTAGGGGTAATACCCTCCGATACTTTGCGAGCAACGGTCTCACAGGCACAAAACATACCGTCAGAGAAAGGCTTGCCTCAAAACTTGAGATCAAGAAAACCACTGGTGGAGTGCTCGTGCGGGTTACCTTAAGTCATCCTGTTGAGGCAGAAGCCATCGATTCCCATGCCTGCAACATCGCAGTTGTAGCAAGACCTGAGGCCGACTGTTTCCAAAGGTTCTTGCTATCACTTGCTCTTGACGGACTTGAAACTTGACCCTATGCACTTTGATTAGGATATGCCAAGCACTTTTGAGACTCACTGCCTGCCGGTCTACATGAAAAACGGTCTCGCTTCCCACGTCGTTGCCGGACCGCCAAACGTTTCTGCCACATCCTATCTAGTCTGCTTTGGTACCAGGCTTCATGATGCTCGCAGTACCTGGAAGCTATGTCTTTGTGCTGTCGACACCTCCAACCAGACCCATTGGCGAAACTACATCGCTCCGCATCTGGAACCTGTACAGGGCCTGGTGCACTTGGTGCTCTTTGCCGGCTCCGTTTCCGCTTGGAATTTGAGTGTTGTTTGCAGCGGGCACCAGGTCCAGAATCACCTGCTGAGACATGAATAGGTCGGGATACACAGCCTGGAATGTTGCAAACTTTCCCTCCATGGAGCCAACAAGCACGACCTGCTGGTCCAAGGCTATCGGCCTCAGCTTTTCCCCAGCAAATCCTTCGGCAGCCTGGTACCCGGCAACTACTCCCATGGACAGCACAGCGACGACCAGCTTTTCCAAACTCATCTCCTTTTCGCAACCGTGTGCCAACTCGATGGCAGCCTGGCACGGAGCAAAGAGAGTTTGATAAATGCAAAGTACAACGCATCCCGGCAGCCCCAAAGCTATCTTTATCAGATTTGAAACGTGCAAAACGTGAGCAGCCAGGAACATTGCAACGTCTTGCACCATGTGCGCAGCATCGGTGCCCTGCCAGTCCATAGGCGTCTTTCTGGTGAACCCTTGCCACTTTTGCTCGTGTGCAGCCAGGCACATTGCACATCGGCTTGGCACTGTGCATTTTGCAACGCCATCCAATGTCACCATGCGCATCATTCTTGAGTATCCATCGACGGCACTTCCTGAAACAGCCTGGCACTGAGCACATCTGCGGCGTCGCCTTTGAGCCCTTCGGGCTCTTGGGGCTTGGAGCTCGAGCTCGGTTCAAGCCAGCGTCTACCAAATGAAGCATCCTCTGCCACAGCTCCTTCATCTTCCGACTGCCCTGAAGAAGAGGAGAAATTTTGCGGCAAAACAACAATGCCAATTTGATGCTTTTTTGGACGTGTGTTTTCCTGATGTCAATAGCCAACAGGCAAATGAGGCAGGTGTCCAAGAGTTGTACAAGTTTTGGCTCTGCATCGACTGCAAACGTTGCGTCAACCAAAGAGGGTAACTTGTCAAATTGCTCTGACCACGCCAGGCAATCCAAAATGACCTGCACCCCTGCAACACATGAACAAAAAATGTCGCAAAGCAAACTTCCGTTCCCATATCCTTTGGCGCAATTGGCTGCATCTTTCAAGTCTTTGAGGCAGTCCACATGTGTCACCTGTTTTATCTGCTTTTGCCATGCGTCAGCCGCCAACATCATGGCAGGACATGGTGGCAGTGGCGGTGGAAAGTTTGCAAATTGAGGCACATGTCCATGATGTCCTTCGTGTTCCTCCTGTCCCGCTGGAATGATGCGAACCAACTTTGCCCGTGCTTCACCTGCTGCTTCATTGGAGGATGGCTGCTGGGCAGCTTGGAACTGGACAATGGCTTCATGACAGTTTGGCAAGCCGAGCCCCCTGAGCAAGCTCATGGGAATCTGGGAGGTCGGAATTATATAGAACTCACCCGTCGCATCCAGTTTCTGTACTCTCAATCCATGTGGCAGCACGTCCCGCACTCTTCCCATCCACCGTTGCATGGGCCAAAACAGCTTGCAACGAATGTACATGGAAAGCTTGCACAGCAACCTTTCTACACTTACACATGGACCGGGACAGGCCGGACAGGCAGGGTAGCAGCGAGTAGCACGAGGCAAAAAATGTGTGCAGGTTGGCTGTGCTGTCTGCGTCCTCTTGTCTGTGTTGAAGTTTGTGTATATCATATCAACATCAAGGACTGGGGGCGTTACAAAAGCACAAGTTTAACTGTGTAAACAGGCAACTAGCCTACATGTACCGCAAAGGCACACCTGTTTTGTTCTTGAGCCAAAGGAGACGATTTAGGTCATGTATATACACTACAAGCGTGAAACAACACCCCCCGCTGAGCGCAAATACGGAGGAGTGAAGTATGTACAATGTGCATGAATTCGACCAGCTACGAAAGGCAACCGGCCCCCCGGTACGAGCAATCGATCGGAGCGCGCCTAAGAGATAAAGCTGGTGAAGCAAGACCTCAGAGGCAACGGAGTCAGGCACAATGTACTCAAGTTTCGCTTGTTGCTCGTGACAAATGTCTCAGCTCACATGCAAGAGTTAGCACTCTATTTTGGGCGCTGTGCGAAAAGCTCAGCATATGTTTATCATTGAGAAAGGAGAAGTGGAACCCTTACATGGCTCACGCTCCCGCGCGGCGAACAAGCAAAGCTATCAAGGTGATGAGAAGGAATTTTATCCAAAATCATCATTAATTCATGCAACCTCAAACTGTGATCAGCTTCTCTGCAGGATGAACGGTGACCATAAGGCAGCCGCTGCCGCGGTGCGATGAGATGTCTCCACAAGGAATTGGAGCTTTGATGCCGTTGGTATTTTGTTTGGTTTTAGTTTTGTCCAAGGCAACGGCTCCCGCCGCGCGAAGACCTCTCACCAGTTCCGGTGCTGATACCAGTCACGGTCTGCCCAGCCACCGCAGCCCCAATCAGAGTCATGCCAAGAGCGGTCGTCCGATTGCCACCGGCCACTCGACCACCAACTCTGAGATGAAGAAGGCCGGTCATATGAGCTGCGTCCGCGGTCCTCCCAGTGAGCTTCGTATTGACGAGCACGATGCTGGGACTGCCTCTGCGCAAAGCTTTTGGCAGCCGCTGATCCTGCCTTTGATTGTGGCACAACCATAGCCCGCTCTTCTTTTCCAAGGGTCAGAGCATTACCCGGGATGCGCTCATAGTCCTCTGCCATGAAGACAAGTAAGTCATCGAGGATTTCCTGTGGATCTTCGAGATCGGACTGCCAATCACCACCAAAGCCACAGATGGGTGGCCGTTTGAAGTTCTCAGCATATAGCGTTGCAAAGACTTCCGGACGATGGAAACGGTTCCGCCAATAGACGAAGAATTCCTGAGAAAGGTCGGACTCACCAATGATGCTGGTCTGCGATGTACACGATCTTTCCAGCGTACTTGTGTCCTTCACCCTTCATAATCATTTCGCGCGTCCTGGGTGGGTCAGGCGCGACAGCATTGGCGAGTTTGTCGGTGAAGCCTAAGCACAGTGGCATAAGGTCTTGCGCCGCGCAGTTGAATGCATAAAATGGGTCGACAAGCTGCCGTTGCACCACAGTGACTGACATGCGCTCTGCTTTCTTGACGTGACTCCTGGTGTTCTTCAAAATCGTAAGACCTGATCGCGAAGCACGAATTGTTTCCTGCCCAGGCGTAGCCTTTCTCCAGATCCTCTGAGCTCATCGTCAGGCACCATGTCAAGTGACACATCGATTCCGAGATTCGTTGCGATTTCCTCACCTGCGTTGCTTTGCCGAGGTCAGACGACAAGTGGAGATATGCTCCGCAGTTGATGCACCCCATCATGCCAAATGTGTACAAGTGTTTGCACCATTGACACTGGCGTTCAGGCATGATCCGTTGTTCAACAAGAGCCCATAGGGTTTTTCCCAGTCCTTCGTTGTGAGGGTCAAAGGATCGAGTATTGAAGCGATGGTAGTCCTCATAATCTTGCATGATCATTGGGCTCATTCGGTTCCATGGTGCATTGCCGAATGGTTTCCGGGCGATGTGCGAATGAATCAACACATCAAGATCAGGGTTGTTGGGACCCGTACGCATCTGATCCTTGACGCCCTCCATGGCACTGAGTCATCATAGTAGTATGGCCTATCGGTTTTGATGAAGCCACACCACCTTCCGTAGTCCGACAGGAGGTTCGTCACCAACGTGAAAAAGTTGGAGTTCTGAAGCTCATCATCACCGGCAAGCGGCCCCGCTGCAATCCTTTCGAAACCTCGAAACTCGATCATTGTAGCGGGATCTCTCGTCTGCATAGATGTGATTGGCATGGAAAAAAGAGCTGGACGACATGTCAAAGCCATAGATGATGAACTGATTCGGAATCCAGTCGGCACACAAGATTGCCCCGGCCGTTGTCTCTACCATACGAAGTCCTTCTGCAATCATCAACCTTAGATCCAGTGCGAAGCAGAGCGGTCTTGTCGCGGCCATGGAAGCGAATTGGGTGTTCGAGATTGACCATGGGTCATCCATCTTGTTTGCAGATTTCAGTCCACCCGGCAAAAACTCCCATGTTGATGATATCCATCATTGCCGCATTGTGTGTGTAATGGTACACGATTGCAGGCTCCACTTCAGCGACCTTCACGAGAGAGTCGACTGGGACCTGTGGAAACAAGAGGCAAACGGCTGCCGGAGCATTGGAAGAAGAAGATCTTCCACCTTTCTTCCTCTGGCTTTCTGACCCAGTGGAACTGTCGGAGCCTGATCTTGAGCCACTCTTACTTCTCTTGCGTGGCTTCTCTTTCTTCTTCTTCTTTTTCTTCCTCTCTCCTCTCTTCTTTCGCAGGTACAGTTTTGTCCGGATGCTGGAAGGCACAGTCCTTCCCACGGTGGCAACTGCCCGCTTTCCAGAACTTGCAAACTTCTTTTCTGGAATCTGGAGTAAGGGAACGAGATTGAGACCTACTCCTGGCTTTTCCTTTACCCTTGCCTTTTGATTCTTTCGTGCTAATATGGGCACGAACTGCCTCTTTTACATTTCCCTGTCTTCTGAAATTCAAAACATGCACCTTTCTTGTCCGGTTTGGCAGGCGCAGCAAGGTCTTTGCCACCAAGTGATCTTTTAGTGGCGTCTCGCATCTTGTCTAGGCGCTTCCGTTCTAGGTAAGCGCGGGCAGCTGCAATCAGGAAATCATACGCCTTTTCTTTCGTGCCTTCAGCGGCACGATCATACAATGCCAGGTCATGATTGAGGGGCCTGAAATTCTTGATTGCCATGTGGAAGTATGCTTCCAACACGCTCTGTTCGGGCTCCTTTTTCATGCCTGCTAGGACTGAGTCCCATTTGCTGATGAACGACTTGAGATCGTCATTCACTAGTCTGACTGACATAAGATCCTCCAAATCGTAGATGGCTTGATACTTGAGCAAAACCTGTCTACTTTTTACTGGTTTGTTCTCACGCGCCTGAAGCTCCTTAAAGGTAGCTATTTGCCGACCAAGGCCCCCCTCGGCGCAGTTTGTCAGACTAGACAAAAGCTTAGCGTCGAGAGTTGGAAACCCCTCAGAATCGGCCAGTGAATCGATCTTCTGATCTTCCTGGAAGACCTTTCCGATCCACTTTCGCGCATCATCAGGTTTTGCCGAGGCCGCGGACACATTGTCTCTCACTTTGATCTTCCAGTCTCGGTATTTCTCCGGAGTGGGAAACTTCGGAATGAACACTTTGTCCGCTTCTTTCGCTCGTGGTTCCTTCTCGGACCCACCGTCTTTCTTGAGCATCTTCTTCAACTCCTTCTTGACAAGTCGGGTGATCTTGTCACAGACGGAACTTGATGATGAGGAATCAGCATCGCTGCTGGAGGGATCTGAAGGCGAAGGTGAGGGGGACTTCTTCTTTGTTCTCCTCTTGGTAGGAGAGCGACCCCGCTTCGGACTATCTTTCTTACACCGATCACTCTTCTTTTTCTTTTTCTTGTATGATCTCTCACTATCAGCATCGCTGTGATGTCCACCACCATGCGGAGGTGAAGGAGGTGGCGCGCCGGTCACTACCTTTCCAAGTGGGACCTTTGAGGAACTGGATCCGCCTTCGGGTGCCATGCCTGACATCCGGTTCCCCGGTGCGCTATTCATTCCTTCTCTCAATTCTTTTATGATGCGAGCCTGTTCGGCAAGCTCAGCACGCAAACTGTTCTCCCGCTCTTGAGCCAATGATCGTTCTTGTAGTACATTTTCATGTCGCTCAAGAGCTGCTTGCGTTAGCATTTTCTTGCGCTCATCTTCATGTTGCTGCTGTAGCTGTTGATGTGCGATTCGAAGCTGTTCGTGTGCTTGTTGTTCACTTGCTCTGGATGACTCCACGACGAAGTCTCTGGCTTGTCTCTCCACGTCCTCTCTCATGCGTTTAGCTTCCTCCTGAAACTGACTCTGAGCTTCGGACATGATCGCTTGATGCCTTAGTTCAGCCATCTGTGCAACTTCTCCTGATCGGTCCTGGTTAACGAGGACTGCTTGTTGGAGAGTTCTGGCATCTACTTGGTTGATCACTGGTGTTGGAGATGCGAACGGTGAAGGGGTGGTCGCAGGCTCCAGGTTCCCCTGGGCGGGATTGAATGTAGGAACACTCAAAAGTTCGGGAGGAACAGGTACCAGCAAGTCACTATCTTCATGTTCGGAAATCAACGGCGTAGTCGGAGCATAGCCTGATCGAGAACGTTCGTCGTCCAAAGCGTCCATGGCAACTAACCTACGGGGTGTGCGCACTTATCCGTGGTGGAGTAGGTTAGCTACTTCCCAAAGCACGTACCGCTCTTTTGGCGATACGGCTGATAACCTGTGTAAACAGGCAACTAGCCTACATGTACCGCAAAGGCACACCTGTTTTGTTCTTGAGCCAAAGGAGACGATTTAGGTCATGTATATACACTACAAGCGTGAAACAACATTAACAGTTTGGCAAGTGTTCAATCAAAGCTGGTCGCAATCGCAATTCTTGAGTTGTGTAAAATGTACCGCTCCTCCGGGGCTTGAATCCAAACAAAGGAGGGACGCAGAAACTGTAGTCACTACAGGGTAGTGTCAATGCGAGCCTCGACATGAGAAATCCATCCACAAATGCTACCTGAGATGGCCCACTGCCATCGGCTTGTCTCTTGAGCCAGGAATGCAACAAGACTAGACTCGGTGACAACGGCAATACTCACTTGCGCAAAACTTGTGGAATATGCACAATCAATTGCAGTATACAAAGAAATTACACAACTGCTTGTTTCTTCGCGCAAGGGTTGGACTTGGCTGCAGAAAATGCTAATGACAGTAATTACCCAAGCCTGATACAGTTACAACAACAAAGCCTTGCCAATGCGTTCGCCGCGCCTTATTTTTTCACCGCCTGCAATAGCAATCAATTGCTGAGCCTCTCAACAAAATCCATCAAAAGCAAACCCATCATGAAACTCAAACATCCAAACGCCTTGACCTATGGCATCGCCGCCATAAAGCAACCGCCAGCCGCTCAATGAGACGAAACAAAGCGTAGAGATTTGCAATGTAGGAGCCTAAAGGCGACAGCCAACATGAACGACAGGCGTGGCTTATGACTTACGCGGTATCAGTCAGTGAGAATCGTGCTCACCTACGGGTTAAAAAGCTTACAGAAGAGTTCTGTTTTGGGACCCAGGCAGCGCATGAAGAGGTCCCGACAAAGCGTTGGCGAAACACTTACCTGAAGCGTCTGCCACACTGCTTAGGGGGGAGTGGGGATGGACTCCGTGGCATTTCGTTTCTGACTTGGGGTGGTGCAAAATTCTGTCTGGCTTTGCTGCGGAACACTTGTCCCTGTTCCCAAACATTTCTCCCCTCCGCTCTAGAACCCTTCTGTGCTTTTTAGGACGGATGAACGACAGGTGCGATGACCACGAGGATATGGAGGGCACTGAGAAAGGATTGAGACTAGTGGCATTTGCGTCGCTCCTCAACGGCTCAGGTGTCAGACCTTCGGGATCTGGCTCCGGTAAGAGGCACTCAAAAAGGTTTTGCTGCTACAGGCACCTCCGGCAATGCTTCAAGTCTTGAGTCAGGAGTTGATCCAAGCCCTGCAGACGATGTGCCCGTCGCTGGCATTGCTGGAGTCGCTGACCCAAATGTATACTCTGAGTCCAACGGACTTCTTGAGTCTCTTACAGCAGTGCTTTCTGACATTGGGACTCGGTCTGCTTCTATGTCTTGCTCGTCAGAGCTACGGCTGATAACCTATGAAAACACAAGAGTGTGCTCTCAGCACGCACTTTTCTACCAATAGTTGCTTGAGCCAGAACACAGCGTCGACATTACTATGGTACGTATACACCGTGTGCCGGGTACGTTGTGGTGTGCGTCCTGTTGTTAACTTTCTTTATTCACGGTTCTGGATGTATTTAAGGTGCTGTGGGTGCATCTAAGGTTTGGGTAAGGTTCGCCAAGGTTGGCACTGCAACAAACCACACAATCATCGCACACAGAAAACATAGGCTAACAAAGGGTTGCATCACTTCCAGCAGTTGTCTTGGTCATAGGTAGGAATTTTGTAAACACACAGACATGAAAAGGACCCGAGCCGCAAGCATAAATTCGGGGGTGAACTTAAGGAATTTCACACCAAAGCAACAACTATTGTACAGCTAGCTGCAAGCCGTAAAACTTAAATTCAGGGGCGGCGGTGAATTTGAGGAATCAATGACGCAACAAAGTTGACTAAGAAACAATATGTTTGTGCCTAGGAAGTGGATTGGGGAGGGTGAATTTAAGAATGCAATTGCGGAAAGGTGAAGCGGTTGGGACGTGCTTCACGGGGAAATAGGTTTGCAGTTGCTTGGACATAGAATTGTTACAAACACACCAGCATGAAAAAGGCTTGAGCCACAAGCCTAAAAACCATATAAACTAAACTCACAAAGGAATGACACAACACACAACCAACAATCAAAATAAAGAAACTCACTGCAAGCAAGCAAAAAACCACTTAAGTTCAGGGGAGAGGGTGAATTTAAGGAACGACGCAGCCAAAAAAACAAAACTCAATATGAAAAATCCTTAGCCGCAAGCTCAAAACCTTAAATTCAGGGGGGGAATTTAAGGAATTGCACAACCAAAAAAACAAAACTCAATATGAAAAACCTTAGCCGCAAGCTCGAAAGCTTAAATTCAGGGGGTGAATTTAAGGAAGGCCACAGCCAAAAAACAAAACTCAATATGAAAAATCCTTAGACACAAGCTCGAAACCTTAAATTCAGGGGGGAGTGAATTTAAGGAATTGCGCAACAAAAAAACTCAATATGAAAAATCCTTAGACGCAAGCTCAAAACCTTAAATTCAGGGGGGGTGAATTTAAGGAATCTTAGTGAGTTTTGGGGGTAGGATTTCAGATTTAAAACATGGATTCGTATGGTTTTGCATGAAAATCAAACCCCAAAAGTTCAGTTTTGGAGTATGAATTCATACAAAAACATATAAACAGTGTTGTTGAAACTCAAATCTTACACCAAAAACTCACTAAGATTCCTTAAATTCCCCCCCCCCCCTGAATTTAAGGTTTTCAGCTTGTGACTAAGGATTTTTTTTATGTTGAGTCTGTTTTTTGGTTGTGTCATGCCTTAAATTCACCCCCCCCTGAATTTAAGGTTTTCAGCTTGCGGCTAAGGATTTTTCATATTGAGTTTTTTTTGTTGCGTTATTCCTTAAATTCACTCCCCCCCTGAATTTAAGGTTTTGAGCTTGCGGCTAAGGATTTTTCATATTGAGGTGTGTTTTTTGTTGCGTCATTCCTTAAATTCACCCCCCCCTGAATTTAAGGTTTCGAGCTTGTGGCTAAGGATTTTTCATAATGAGTTTTGCTTTTTAATTGTAATTTGATAGTAAATGTGACTTGCGCTAGTGTTTTTCCTGTTCTAGTTTTCAGCTGGTATTTTATTCTGATTGCTGCATTAGGGCATGGGTGGTTATGACGATGATGTATCCATCTCATCGTGATCTTCTCCAAGTATGTTCTCCTTTATCCAACACTTAGGAAGCTGACCATCACACGTGTATTTGAAGCTGATTAGGAGCCACACAGTTCAATGCGCAGCAGTTTGGCGATGCTTTCTCATACAACATCTTGGCATCGTCGCATACAACACGGGGGGCGTAGTTCAGTCCATTGTCCATTGTCGATTTGGCAGGACTGTCTCGGCCATTGTCCTTGGTCAGTGTTGGGTCTTCTTTGTTATTGATTTTTGGGCAGCTCATGGGAAATGTCAATTTGGCATCGCTTTCTCATACAACATCTTGTTGGTTGGGCATTGTGTGATCATTGTTCATTCCGGTTGTGGTGCAGGTGCCATCTTTAGACATCTTCAAACAGCGCTTAACGCTACAAATCTCTATTCTTAGATCCAATACTTGTTTTTACGTTACCGCAAAAGTGCAAACGCTTAGCTGCAACCTCCCCCCTTAACCACAGCGAATAAAGAAAGTTAGCATGCGTCCTATTCGCATATATTATATATATAGATAATGTATACTAATGCTGTAGGTATATTGTACAATAACGCTTTCAACCTGCATCTCTTTCGGACATCTCTGAGACTCGGCATTGCCGTCACTCCTGCTCGAAACTCGCATGCTCTTCCTCTGCATCTCGGTGACCCGGGCAGGGCAGGAGTTGAATCTCGCGAATAGATCTACAGCAGTCGTCTTACCTTCAATATCTCTAGACCGACTATCCATCCGTCTATTTTCCTCGGTTCTTTTCAAGCTCAGCTCATTCGACTCCCGCGCCAACAAGGCAAAAGCGGGTCCCTGCAAGGATCATTCGCCTTGGACAGGGGAATGCTAGGTTGGGATCCTCGATCGTCCACCAATGCTCCAAGCAAACAACTAGCTAGCTGTCAGAGCTTGCCGGGAACCTGAGTTTCATCTGCCCATCCTCGGACAGCCATCCTTGACCTCTTCCTTGATGGATCTTAGTGCTGCGACCACAACGACTGCAGGCAATCCATTCTGGGTCGAATGCACTCGACATCTGAGCTACATAGTATCGGCAGTGGCACGTTCATAGCTGCATGCTTGACCTTTCAAGGTCATCAAAGCTGACTTGCCACATCTCCTGCAAACTTTGGCCCAACACCGAAGGCAACTAAAGGTGCTAGAGCGAAGAGTCCACCTGTGCCCCGTCTCCTCATCCGACTTCTGTGCACTGTCGTCTACCATGGCCTGCATGATCTGGGTCAAGGTTTTGCTGCGCACTCCAGCACAAATACTGTTCTCCTTTTTCTATCTCACTATGTGTGGAGGATGCCTTGATGTTCATCCCTCATGCATGGCATTGCAGGCCACTGCCCTTGACCAGCCATTGATGCTGACCGTCACTTGGTGTCCTCTGGAACAAACGCTGCAAAATCTCAACACGCCCTTTTGGTGCCGGGGCCTTGAGTTTGTACTCCAGTTCGACTGTCTCCAGCTGGTTGTGCATATAATGACCCTTATCCTATAGAAGGGCACTGATGCGAGCAGCTGCAGTCAAGTAGACCTGTTGATGCCAACTGTCTGCCTCCTGCAATGATTGCACCAGGTCATCAGGCGCTTCACGACGAGCCCTCTGCTGTGCACATTGACGCGCAGCATCAAACTGCAGCCATGCCCTCATATCATCACCGGCGCCTTTGAGCATCTTCTATGGAACGTGAAGCGGCTTGAGCCTGGTCCACTCTTCTGCTGCCACACTATGCCACAAGCCCGCCGCCAGCACACTTTTGGGCCCTTGCTGGAGTGCCTCCCATCCCTGACGGTGAGGAATGTTGATCTGATGGCGCCCCAGAAAAGCCTGAATGGCCAACCAGCAACCATAGACCCACGCTCTGGCTTCACTGGGCTTTCCCGGCATGACTGCCGTGCAAGTGCCACTCAGCTGCCATGCGCCATCACGCCATTGGCCCACAGTGACAGCAACCACATAGTTCTGCACCCTGGCATCTTTGCAAGTTACCGGATGAGGTGCTTCATAGTGACCGGCGCTTGACAGAGAGGGCGGCCCCCACTGGTATGCGTCGTCAGGGAACCTTGAGTCCAAACGTCAATGACTCCTCTCGAGGCTCCTTTCACTTGCTTCATCACTTTGTGGTACGTAGTCCAGTCAGGCTTGCGCATCATTGGAAAGCAATGTTCTAGCTCTTGGGTACGGCGGGCTCGCTGCAGGGCCAGTTCAGCATGAAGTTGCGTCTGCAGATAAGGCCATGGGAATTCAATGTTGAGCTGAACGCAGGCATGATGCCCGTTGGTGCTCTCACCCAGTCATCCAATGCTCCGGCGTCCCACCCCATCTCCATCAAATAGGCCTGAAGGGCGGCCATAGGGCCCGCAACCACCATCCAAGGATGCGCTGCTGCTTGTAACCTCCTCCATGTAAGCCGCCAGCCGACACCAGTTCTCCTCTCTGAGCAGGCGGCCACGCTTGCAGCAACTGATGCATTGCTTTTAGCTGACGTTCAATGGCGGTATCTCTGGGATCTTGCAGCTTGCCACGTTGGTCAAAAACAATGTCCATGCGTCCACCTTTCTGCAAGCCCCCATGCCTGGCCAATTGACTGCGGAGGGTTCTCATCCGCTGGGGCGCCATGCCCTGAGCTTCAATGCCATAGCCAACCGCTGCATGCACCGAAGTCTTCCACACTCGGATCCTCACTGGCCTGGACCGCAATTTGAGGTGGAGCAGCTTGGCTTGTCTGCCTCTGCCCTTCAACAGACGTTTCTGCTGTGCGCCAATGCGACGGCGGCGCCCCCCACTTGAATCCAATCCAAGATCCTTCAAAAGGTCATGAGTCATGGGCCTTGGGTTGATCTGCACCTCTTACCATGTTGAGGTGGCGCTTGCAGTCACTCGTGGATGTGAGGAATCCAGTCTTGCTCACTGACAACTTCAGACCAGCAGCCTCCAACCCCTGCTTCAACTCTTCGTAGCCGGCCAAGGCTTCAGCACAAACCTCTTGGGCCTCCTGGCCTGTGAAGTGACTGAAATGTCATCGACCCACACATCAACAGAGGATCGGGGACGTTGCTTCACGAAGTCTTCAATGACCGGGGCCAAGACGAGTTTTGCAACGAGCGGGGCCATGGGGCAGCCTGCTAGAATGCCTCGCTTGCAAAGAACCGGACTGCTGGTGACCTGCTCAGCCTCCAACATGCGAGGTCCGGCATGAACAGCTGGGAAATCTAGCGGTTCCCAAAGGTGCAGCAGCTGAGCCAGTTCAACCGAATCGTAGAAGCACTGCAAATCTACCAACAAGGTGACCACATGCCTGCCCACTGCACGTCCAACCTCGCACTTGAGGAGT